GCTGACGCGGCCGCCCATGCTGCTGCCGATCCGGTCCCTCTCACGCTCAGCGATATCCGCACAAGCTACGACAACTTCGAGGTCGCCGGCTTTGGCCAGGTGCAGAAACCAACCTGCTTGCCTCCATGTTCACGCTTCGCGCCCCTTCCCCCCCTCTGACGCCGCCGTATGACCGTAGGTGAGGGGCACGACTACCCGCCTGGAAGGCGCTCTCATCAGCAAGTCACCCAGGCACCAACTCCTGGGCGTTTACGCTTGACTACGAAACCATGCAGTGGATGCAGCTCGATCAAAACGGCGACGCCAACAGCTGGTCCCTGGGCGAGTTCCTCGCCCAGGATGAGGTGCGAGTCATGATGCTCGACCCAGCGTGCACCAAGTCGCTCACATTCCGTGAGTTCGTCAACGGGCCGAACACACTCTCCAAGTCGACTGCGATCTCGAACTCCGACAACTGGACCGGTGCACCGCCGCGGAGGACGATGGCTCCCTCGACGACATCCCTTCATCGACGGACGCCTTCACCGCCGCCGGCCCTGGGCCATCCAGCGCGGCCTCCGACGGCCTGCACGTGATCGAGCGGGTACAGAAACGGTGGCTGCCGCAGCTCACACCCTAATCGATCTGCCTTAGGCACGGAGCCAACGGAGCCATCGCGCATGCCCGCATCGCGTGCGGCTCCGAGGTCTCCCGCCGAGACCGGCTCGGCGCGGCGCGTGGCCGCACGCCGCCGTTGAAATGGCGAGATAGGACCGAGGGGAGAGCGCCGGCCACATCGAGCGAGCGCTGACGTGTAAGGTGTCTGTGCTGCTCCGGTGTGTGTGGGATTCTGCCTCCCCCCCCATCTGTGCGGCGAGTTGTTTGCGGCGCGATGCCCGATCGTGCGCGATAGCCTCCCATTGTGCGTGGTGTGTCGGTTGTCGGGGTCGTCCGGAGCGTGTGGCGGCGCCGTTGCATGCAGCGACTGCTCCACGTGCCACGACTGCTTTGACTGACGTGACTGACTGATGAGTGCCACGAACTGCTTTGACTGACGTGACTGACTGATGAGTGCCACGAACTGCTTTGACTGACGTGACTGACTGATGAGTGCCACGAACTGCTTTGACTGACGTGACTGACTGATGAGTGCCACGAACTGCTTTGACTGACGTGACTGACTGATGAGTGCCACGAACTGCTTTGACTGACGTGACTGACTGATGAGACATGAGTGCTGATGGATGATCTCCGACAACCCAAAACCAAAATGCAAATGAGTGGCCCACTTTGGCGTGCAGATCCTGCGTCTCTC